GGCAAGAATCCAGGTTGTTTCCCTGCCATGGGAAGTCATATCATATCAGCCTGGATTGCAAAGGAGCACAGTGCTCATCCAGTTCCAACCCCCTGCTGTGTGCAGGTCACCAACCAGCAGCCCAGGCTGCCCAGAGCCACATCCAGCCTGGCCTTGGATGCCTGCAGGGATGGGGCATCCACAGCCTCCTTGGGCAACCTGTGAACAGTGCCTCACCACCCTCTGGCTGAAGACCTTCCTCCTAATATCTCTGTCCCCATACCCCCCACAGGTCTGCCTTGTTGTGGTGATTCCTTTCGGATCTTGGGCCAAAATATAACAACACACAAAACCAATGTTTTTGTTTGTTTGTTTGTTTTTCCATGGGGGGTTTAATTTCAGTTGCATTTTCTGAATTGCAGTCATTGCTATTAGATGTGAGCATGAAGCATCACTGCTGGGCTGGGCAGTGCCAGAGCAGGCAGATCAAAGCCTGAGGGCTCCTCTATGGGGATCTCAGAATCACAGAATCACAGAATGGCCAGGGTTGGAAGGGACCTCAAGGATCATGAATCTCCAACCCGCTGCCACATGCAGGGCCACCAACCTCCTCATTTAATGCTAGACCAGGCTGCCCAGGGCCCCATCCAACCTGGCCTTGAACACCTCCAGGGATGGACGGGGCATCCACAGCCTCTCTGGGCAGCTGTTCCAACACCTCACCACTCTCTCTGTAAAGAACTTCCCCCTGATGTCCAACCTAAATCTCCCTTCCCTCAACTTAAAACCATTTCCCCTCATCCTGCAACCTAAGGGGGTGGGGTTGGGCACAGCTCTGGGCACACAGGAACCTGGGGTGTCCCAGCCTCAGCCATGCTGTCACTTCAGAAGAACATATAAATAAGAAACAAAAACCTAAAACCCTTTCCTTGTGGAGTTACAGTTTTTTAATTGAGGATATTTTTTGCCTGTGTAATTAATGCAATTTTGTATGGAATTGATACGTTTTTAGCAAACCCAAATATTTCAGCTAATGCATTTTTCGTCATGTCAAAAGCCCTTTGTTCATTGAAAAAGCACTTAATGGAAATATTTTAATCAGAGCTTGAAAATATCAGATGTCTCCAATGAAAGGTCAGGCCTTCAGAGCAGAACGGGGAGCAAATGGCTCAGGAGGGTTAATTAGCAGCGAAAGACTAAACAAAAGCCGGGAGTCTGAACGAGAGTCTCTGAAGGAGAAGAGGCACTTAAGGTACATTAATGAATTTAGAAAAACAGGGTGGAGTTTTTCTGTAATAAAATCCCCCGTGCACCGAGATGCAGCCCTAGCTCATGCAAAGCGGCACTTCATGCAGACACGGGGGTGCGTTGTCAGAGGGGGCTCCTGGAGATGTGGCAAGAATTGAGAATTTGGGACCCCCACCACTTCAGGGCCCAACCAGCCAGAGCTATCCAATGGTTCTGTGAACTTTCCTCAGACCACAGGAGGGGTGTGCTCAATGGGCTGTGTCTGTTGGGCAGCGGGGCTGATGTTGGGCTTCACAGAGTCATAGAATCACAGAATGCTCATCCAGTTCCAACTCCTTGCTATGTGCAGGGTCTCCAACCACCAGACCAGGCTGCCCAGAGCCACATCCAGCCTGGCCTTGAATGCCTCCAGGGATGGGGCATCCTTCAGGTGGGAACAAACCTGATGTCCTGGCTCTTTCCTCCTGCACATCCAATTAACCTTTATTTACACACTTGTTTGATTGGCAGCACTGGTCCTGGTGCCAGTGTCTGGAGTTCAGAAACTGTACTAGGAAATCATGCTCCATTAATATATCATTAGGCACTTTAAATGGGTTCCAATGATGTATGCCTCGGGAAGAAGATAATTCAGCAGTTGTTAGTTACTGACAGAATACAGAATTGGAGTTTATTGCTTAAGCCTTAATGTCAGCAAAACGAAGGAGCCTGCAACTGATCATGAAGCTGTGCTGCATGTGGGCTCACTGCCCCCCAGGTGGGAGAAAGGGTGAGGGCAGGGCAGTGACAGTGCTGATGTGCAGGAGCACCAAAATGTGGTTATGCCACAAAGCTGAGTGCAGACAAAGCAGCAATCTGGTACGTGTGTGCTGTGTGTATCTGCAGTGAGCCCACCCTGTGCCATCTGAGTGGCATCCCTCAGAGGGGAAGGTACTGCTCACATTACTTTCCTTTAATGAGCATTCAGGCTCTTCCAGCCTTTACCAGCTTCCCCAGTTCATGGGGAGCTTTCACTGTGTCTCTATATCCATACATAATTTAGGCAGCAAAAGGGTGGGTGTGCTCCACATGATGTAACATATGCTTACAACATCTCAATGGCTGGGACATGGAGAACAGCTCCCTGACCAGAGATGCTCTACATTTCCATTCCACACTTTTATGAACTCAGCAGAGATTTCACTTCCCACGTTTCTTCTCCCTTTTATTCTCCTTCCAGAAAGCAGACAGGACAAATAAAATGTGGCCATTCTGCTTTAATACCAGCATGATGCTCATTTGAAGAGATGGGAAATGCACAGAATGCAGAAACAGGTGGGCACTGGTATGGCTGAGCTCTCCAGGAAGAAGTACACAGAGCTGTGTGCGTGCAGGTGGTTCCTTCCAGGAGGGGTTGGCAGGGGGTGATGCACTGCTGGAGGAGCCTGCTGAGTGCCACAGCAGGCAATGGGAGGGCAGCATGGCAGTGCCTTGCAATGGCACCATGGGCACCAGCCTTGGAGAGTTGACAGGGAAAAGGTGCTGCACTGTATGCATGGAAGAAACACAAAGGAGAAAATGAGGTGGAGGCAAAGAAAGAGAAAATGGATGAAACAGAAAGCCAGTATGGATGTATGAGTCATATGAAGTGGAAAGTTGACAGCTATTCTGTCTGCTAAAAAAAAAACAGAGTATTTCCACCTCTGGCCTTTACAGCAAGCTGTCCTCCAGCCTCTGGGCAGCCTGGGGGTGAGGCCGCTCCTTGTCCTTGCTCTCTGAGTAACAGCAGAGCCACAGCAAGCAGAGCTATCTCAGTGGGTTTAGAGTCCCTCAGGAGGTTATGGAAAATCAGAAGCTCCTTTCTTCCCTCCCTCACAGTGAGGACTTCACTGCATTATCAGAAGAATGAGCAAATCAAACAGAATAGCAGAACGAGGAGGAGGAGCGAGGAAGGAGAGGTGGGAGCCCACCAGGCAGCTGGAGGAAGGTAAACATAGAGGTAAAGGGGAAAGCACCTATTTGGAGCTGCTCGGTTATCTCCTCGCTTCAGGAACAGGGCCTGCTACAATTAGCTGCCAAAGTGATTCACAGAAACGTTGTTGCAGCGACTCAGATACACAACACAAGCACAGCATCAGCTGTCCCTGCTGCCAACTTTCTGGTTTGCTGGTGTGCTTTTAATCCTGCAAGTGACCTGTTACACTGTTCCACCCTGCTGGAAGCCCGGCCCTGCCACCCCCTGCACCCACCCTCCTCCTCCCAGCCCCTGGTTCACGAAGGAGATCAGTATCAATATTCATGGCCTAATTCTAAACCCCAGGAAGGCTGCAGGAAGTGTTGGTAATGTAATTCCAGGTAGGAAATGGGGATGAGTAAGAACACACGCTCTCCTGAGACATTTCTAATCTTCTCAAGCAAATAAACAAATGAACTCCAGATGCAAAAAATAAATAATAAAAAAAACCCTCTCACATTCAAATTAAAACCTTCAGGTCTAACTATGGAGCTGTTTGTGCAGGGAAACGTTCTGCTGTGGCAGTGATGGGGACGGTCCCCTGTGCCAGGTGCAGGTTGGGGTGGCAGCAAGGCAGGGCAGGGCAGGGCAGGGGCTCCCCCAGGTACTGCACTGCTGCACTGCCCCACAGCCTATAGCAGCACCACGTCCTTTCTCCTCCAGTCCATCACTCATCAGCAGTTTGTGTAGGTTGGTCTTTGGAGTCCTGCACTCTTCTTTTATTCCTCATGGTTAATGAGGCACAAAGAGCTATGCGATAAAAGCTCATCAAAGCTTCCATCTATCTATGTTTAACTGTCTTTGTTACACATTAGTAATGAATGTCCTAAACCCTTCTGTACGTGGGTACATTTCTCCTCATTATTTCATGTTGTTTTCTCCTGACATTCATCCATGTCCTCTTCTCAGCTCCTCTGTGCACTCTAAGTGCAGTGGGTGAGCTCTGCTGGGCTGGGACCCTCACCTTCACCCAGTGGATCCCTAGGAGTGAGTATGGACAGTGAGGTGCCACTTCCCCATGCCTCAGCCTTGATGTGAACCCTACACCAGGATGGAAGGGTGGGGACCAGTGAGCTGCTCCTTTTTGATGGCTCTGTGTATAGAATGGAGTTTCCTGTGGACCTGAACAGCTGAGCCCAAAGCCAGCACTGGGCAGGGTCCTGTGAGCAGTCCTCACAGAAGAGCCTGAGTTGAGAGGGATTCAAAGGCCATCTAGTTCCAACCCCGTGCCATGGGCAGGGTTGCTGACCACTCCAGCAGGCCCAGGGCCTGTCCAGCCTGGCGCTGAGCACCTCCAGGGATGGGGCTTGTGTCCCACATAACACACCTGCTGCATGTCCAATACCTGCTTACATTACAGACCTGAGACCTGCCCCACGTGACACACCTGCTCAGTGTGACACACCTGCTCAATGTGACACACCTGCTTAATGTGACACACCTGCTCAGTGTGACACACTGCTCAGTGTGACACACTGCTCAATGTGACACACCTGCTCAGTGTGACACACTGCTCAATGTGACACACCTGCTCAGTGTGACATACCTGCTCAATGTGACACACCTGCTCAGTGTGACACACTGCTTAATGTGACACACCTGCTCAGTGTGACACACTGCTCAATGTGACACACCTGCTCAGTGTGACACACTGCTTAATGTGACACACCTGCTCAATGTGACACACTGCTCAATGTGACACACCTGCTCAGTGTGACACACCTGCTCAATGTGACACACTGCTCAATGTGACACACCTGCTCAATGTGACACACCTGCTCAGTGTGACACACTGCTCAATGTGACACACCTGCTTAATGTGACACACCTCCTCCCATGAACAGACACAGTAGCAACAGGTGATGCAGAAGAGCATCAGCAGGAAGGCAGATGAGAAAAGAGCCATGCAACCATCATTCCTCTGCTCCCCTCCTTCAGCACAGCAGTGCCCAGCTGTCCAGATGGGAGAGAGGGAGCGAAGGAGGGAGAGAAGCTGCATGGAAGAGCAGAGCCAGAAGTGGGAACACCGGCTCTTCTGAAAAGCTTCTCTTCAAATTTAGCAAAATAATAAAAATGCATAAGTAAGCAGGAAACATAAACAGAGCAAATAATTAGTTAATTACAACCTGCTTTAGCAGAACATCTTTAATTATTCAAATAATTAGTGAGATTAAATTCCAAACAAAACCTCACAAACTCAACCCGAACTTGTCCTTGAAGCTCTCGAGTGCCTCAGCAGAATGCTGTACCTGCTGGTACTCCCATTGGCACAAGAGTTCATAAATTCTTTTTTTTTTCACCTTTCGTTTTGTTTGACGTTCCTGAATGCTTGCAGTGCTTCTGATTTAGAACTGCCATACCTCCGTGAGTTTCTATACTAAGAAATACTTTCCATCTTTTTTCATCAGGTGAATTCTTCTATTTGCGTACTGCACTCTTTGTACAGCTCCTTCCTGCCCGAGCATCTATTGGCCTCAGCATTCCCAGATACCACAACACTGTCTCCTCAGCAGGTATTTTTTTAGTATTTCCTCGGTGTGTATCATACATTAGGATCAGCATCTCAGCTGCCTCCCCTGCCGGACATGTGGGTGTGCTCAGCTGCACACCTCAGTGCACCCCACATCACGGATAGAGCATTTAGTGCTCAGATTTATACAAATAACTTAAATCCCTTAATACTGAAGCTTATTCTGGAGAGTTCTTTTTTTGATTCAGAGCTAATTAAAGTCAGAGGAAAAACACAGAATTACTTTGTAAAGCTCGAGATTGGGCCAGCACACAGTGTGCTCCCTTTTCCCCCCAGGAGTTTCAAATGCGTTTGCTTATAAACTGCCTCTGCAGTTACATAACTCTGTTCTCCCCAAGCTTTCAGAGCTCATTAGGAATGATAAAATGGAGCAGAAAAGTGAGGATGATTGCAGGCGCTCCTCCAGCCCTGGTGCTGGCATTGGCTTGTGGTGCTGCAGCCCAGGTTTGGAGCCCCAGTGCTGTCAAGGAGCCGCTTCCCATCCGTCTGCTGGATTGTGGAAGAGTTTGGTGCAATTCTTCTCTAAGAAATAACTCCATCAACATTTTACTGCTAAAGTTAACCTTGGCAGTGACTATTTGAGACCGCTGTTGCGTTTCTGTGCTGCTATTTGGAAACCAAAACAGCAAATACACCATAGGTGGGCCAGCCACATAAACCCTCTGATGCTTGGGTTTGCTGTGCTGGATGTGATCCATACAGAACAGCTCTGTAATTATTGTTTCTTGGAAATGTATCTCATCAGCAAAGTATCAGTAAAGACGGAATAATGTGAGCAGAGGGTATGTAAAGCAAAGAGGATCTTCTCATAGGAGAAAGAGTAAGCATTCAAGAAAATAATAGCAAAAACCTGAAATAGAGTGTTGGTCTGTCTGTACACCCAACTTCTTCATCCCTTTATCCTTCTGCCCAAATAACCTTCAGCTTCTCCATACCCCCCAGCTTGCCTTAGCTTTACCTTTGCTCTGTTTCCATTGCTGTGAAGAGCTCCATCAGCTGTCCAGACAGCTGTCTCTGCAAGGCATCATGTTGGCATGAGCTACAGCTGAGTTAATCCTGTGCCCAAAGACTGTTCCTCCAGTCCCAGCAATCCCACCCTGGGGACAGTGGCAGCCAGCCTGGGCTGAGCCCGTCCCATGCCCACTGGGTGTCTGCTGCTAGGCCTGGTTAATTGGGTACATAATGAGTCTCATCTTGTTCTTAGTGGAGTCAATGGTAGGTCTGGGACCGACATGTCGTGCTTCTTTTGCTGTTTTAATTTACACTGATACTTTGCTTCATTTAAAGGCGGCTCCTTACTTCAAATGACTCTCGATCAAAGGGTGAGTCATCAGTGCTGGTATAGCCGCATACATAAGCAGGCACATATTTCTTCATTATCTGCTTTGGGGAGCTCCTTGCATAAAGATCTCCGTGTTGAGTAACTGCAGAGAGCTGTTCTCATCACTTCCCAAAGAATTCCGTCTCTGCAGACAGAGACCCATGGCTGCCTCTGTAGGGGAAGGAGTTACAATATTAAAAAGTGTCACTGCCAAAAATGTAACAGAGATGAATAAGTTGAATAACTAAAAAAATCTTGCTGCTGAAAATATAGCAAAGATGAATAATTGAAAGGATTTATAGTCTTGTTACGGAAGCTCTACGTTCCGCGCACACATGCAGAGAATGGTCACACTGACCGTAAATAACTCCCGGCTGCGTTGCCTTATCTGTGCAGGTGGGAGAGAATACGAGATGATAAATGTGTTTGTAATGCTGTTGCAGTCTTATCAGCTGAATGAACCTTGAGATGGGAAGTTTCTGACTGGGGTCAGCCCCTGCAAGGTGACGGCTCTTTGCTGGGAGCAGATGGAGGCCAGATATGCCTCAGGATCAGGATTTTCTCTTCAAACTCTGTTCACATGTCCATGGAGGCGTTTTTCTTCTGGCTGCATCCACAATCACTTCGTATCTTAAAGGGATCGCATATTGGAGGGATAACATGCATGCATTGAGCACTGGCTCTTGTGCAGGTTAGGCTGTAATGTCTGTGCCAGCCCTACTCTCATTGCCAGTGGCTGCACGCAAACCAAACCTGTACTCAGGCAGGTAGGAAATAGAGGGGGGGAAAGCAGACCAAAGGACAGGAAAAGAAAGAACAGCTCAGGATATGGTGGTAGGATTTAAAAACGCCACTTGTCTGCCACATTTCTCTCCCTTCTGTGTGCAGAACCACGTGCAGCACGTCCTGCTGCGAAGCACGAGCAGAGCACACGTGAGCCCATGGCGCGGCACGCTGTCCCAAAGGGTGGATGTGTTCCTGAGCCACAGGAAATTCCTCCAGCACCTCCTGCCCACCCTGCAGTGCCCACGCACCTTCTAAGGGAAGAAGGGATGAGTCAGAAATCATTCCATTCATTGCCCAAGAAATTAAATCTGTTGACTCACACAACTAAAGCTGTAATTTCACAAACGCGACGGGATTTCCATATTGCTAGATAAGTTGTGCCACATCCTAAATCATTAGGCAATAGTATAACTGGAGTGTGTGGATGTTCCTCAAACTTCTTCCAAAGCCTCTAGCACAAAAAGAAGCAAACACTCAAAACCCAACCGAGGTGGTTGTGGGTTAACAGCAGAGACAGACAGGCAGGAGGAAACAGATCCTGAGGCTGCATCGGGGCAGGAGGTGAGCTGAGCAGGGTGAGGCGGGATTGTCTGCTGCTTGGAAGCTCATGTTCTGGGTGCATGCTCCCCTCTCTCACCGTGTTGCATAAGACAAACCCTCCCTATGTGCAGGTAGCCAGCTTGTCAGTGATAAACTTCTCCAACCTGTCAGAAAAGCAAAGCCCATGACAGATCCTGAACAGATGTGTTCTGGTCTTTCCCAGCACAAGCTAATTTCTAAGGAGATATGCCTGAATGCAATCTTTAAAATGCCCATAGCTGCTAGCTGCAGGCTTTGTGCTGCTGTATGCCGGGTGGCTGCCGGCTGCAAACCTGCAGTGCCAGGTCAGTGCCTGCACAAAGAGGGGAGCCCGAGGGAAGGGAGGCTGTGCTGGGGACAGAGCTCTGCTGCTGCTGCTGCCAGGCTGCAGAAAAGCCTCTCCAACAGTGCTTTCTCAGCACCACTCAGAAGTGCAATAGAGGGGAATTCCTTTTTCCCTCATTCATTTATTACAAAATGTGCCACCTAAAATCTTAAAGCTCAGTACCGCACATTTCATTCCACACAACACTCCCTTCTTGTCACGAGTGCAAAATACAGAAGACACAAAAAGAAGGATGGGATGCTGAGCATTTACCTAGAAATGGATGGGAAAGCTATAGCCCGATCCCGGTGTGAGAAGGTGACCTGAGGCTCTGCAGCCGGAGGGGGCCTGGTGCTGGTGGCACGGAGCCCAGCACAGCTGCAGGAGGCAATGAGAGCTGTGCTGAGAGCAGCTGGGAGGTGCTGCACATGCTGGGTGCAGACCTGAGCCCAGCCTGAAGTCGAGTGCCCTGCAGGCAGCAGCTATGGGATTACAGTGCGGCATTAATCCAATGCATGCAGAGAGAGAAATGAACTCCATTCCCCTGTCCGCACGGATGGGTCTCATCCCGCAGACGTTGCTCTCCTGATGTTGGTGTGCAGTGGATAACAGCCACGAGAAATGTTTGTCTTCACAGTACGCGCTGCTGCCTGGCACAGAGAGTCCAAGATTAAGATCAAGAGAATATCGAATGATGAATAATTTAGTCACTAAATTTAACATCTTGTTCTGGAGGCCCTTTGGAAGGAGACGTGCGTTCCCTGATATTTATCCCATGCACAAATGTATCAGAAAGTCTTCTCAAAAGATTCAGTCATTGGCTTGGTCGTGAACAGCCAAAATGAATACTGCTCAGCTGAGTGACAGAGCTCACTTCCCTCTGAACGAGGTATGAGGGCACTCCTCATACAAACACTTCAGAAAGGGGTATTGGGGACTGCCCACAGTTCAACAGCCTTAGCAAGGAGTGGTGCCCACTGTGCTGCCTTTGGAGAGCTGGGCAAGGAGATCTGGAGTTGGCAATTACTCCTCTCTGTTTCTCTTCCTTTATTTGTATCTATGCATGCATTGTTGAAGAACAATACCTGCATGCGTGCATTTATTTCCCCACCCAGGCAATGAGGAATGTAAGAGTGTCTCCTTCATTTCAGTCCTAAGGGAATAATTGTAACAGGGAAAGTGATAAACAAAGCACAGAGACACAGTTCTGCAACATGCTCAGTAATGCAGGAAGCAGCGAAGGCCAAAACCCTGTGTGTGTGCAAATGTGTGCCTTGTGAGTGTGCTGATGTCTGCACATGAATGTGTGTGCTCACGTGTCTGTGCCTGGCTGTGTGTGCACACATGTGACAGTGTGTACAAGCTGTGTGTGTGCCTGGGGACCCGCAGTGACCGCTGCCCACAGCTCAGCTAGGCTTCCAAGGGGCCGGAGCCCCTCAGTGCAGAAGGGCTCCCTGCAAACCACAGACATCTCTCCTAATGATTGCAGAGTACGAGCTTACAATCTAACACAAAGCTTTCTGTTTGCCTAACTGCCTCTAAACAGGTCTTAAGAACACATTTGTCTGAACTTTGTTCAGATAAACCTAATTTTAGCAGACGGAATAAACATGGATTATGAATGGTTCATAGAGCAAAGTCATTAGAAAAATCCCAATGCCTGTTGCAGGAGTTTGTATTTTATCTTGTTTGAGTTATTGGAAAAGCTCTCGCAGAGATGGCTCCCTGGGCAGGAGCTCTGCTGCTCCCGCACGTTGCTGCTCACCCCGAGGGGCACACAGCAGTGCTCTGCACACAGCTCTGGTTGCACTACGCTCTCTTGTTTTTATCTCTGTCATGCTATTATAAATTGGGAGGGAGGGATTTGATTGAATCTTTTTGTGTCTCATAATTTTTCCCTTTTCATTAATCCGTTTGGTATGCACAAGTCCATGAGGAACAAAGGGCAGAGGGACCAGAGCGTGCCTCTCCAGTGTGTTCTGTGTTACCTCCATACAGACCGCAGCTCACACTCATTCCTTTGCATCTCCGAAGATTTGAGATCCCCCATTCCAAAAGCAGAACTCACACCAAATGAGGAAATTGCCTGATTCCATCTGCTGTTAGCAGGAGCAGTTGGGAATAAAGGCTTCCGTCACCATGCTTCCTGCACCCAGCTTCCAACACCATGCCTCCTGCACTCAGCATCCTCACTGCTGTGCTCATGGTAACCTTTGGAAATTGCAACCTGCTCCTTTGTGTAAAAACAACAGTATACCATCAGAGTTTCAGAAATTCAACATGAAATTGATTAAGCGGTGTAAGTAACGTGGCATTTTAGAATATTAGAAAAATATTAGAAAAGAAAATTAAAGCATTACAGGATTAGGACTTATCTGCTTTACTTGAAGTTTGCTATAATTTAATTAAAATTAACAGTTTCACACTGATTAGTGGCAGAGCCATTCATCCAACCACGTTTTGTTTCTCCCGGTAGCGGTGTGCTTTTTGCGGTCAGGCTGAGCTCTCTGATGGGGGTTTCTCAGTATATGTGGGGGTACCCTCCATTCACACCCCAGCCTTTCTCCTGCATAGCTCATCTCTGTGATTCTGAGTTACACCATCACTGAGCTTTGCCCTATGTGAAGCACGGACCTTATGGTTCACTTTGCTCTTCTTTACTATTGCTTTATACTGATGTTTTGTTTGCATGGAAAATCCAGTCTGCGGGACTCGGGTTGCATTAGGGATGCAGAGAGCACCAACTTGCAGGGCTGAGTGCAAGGGGCACAACTGGGGTGTCCTGCTGTACGGTGCCCCCAGCTCCACATCCATCAGTGTGCAGCCGTGCACAATGTGTGCATATCATAGAATCATACCATAAAATGGCCTGGGTTGCAAAGGAGCACAATGCTCATCTCATTCCAACCCCCTGCTGTGTGCAGGTCGCCAACCAGCAGACCAGGCTGCCCAGAGCCACATCCAGCCTGGCCTTGGATGCCTGCAGGGATGGGGCATCCACAGCCTCTTTGGGCAACCTGTGAACAGTGCCTCACCACCCTCTGGCTGAAAAACTTCCTCCTAATATCCAACAAACCTCCCCTGTCTCAGTTTAAAACCATTCACCATTCTTTAAAACTATCCACCCTTTTAAAGTGCATGGGGCACTCAGCATCTCCTTCATGCCTGGGGGGATGTCAGGGCCGGGGCATTGGGCTGCTCCCTGCACCTGCCAGGCTGCTGCTACTCTGGAGACAGCAACAATCAGCAGATTCATATATGTATATCTAAGAGAAAACCTTTAATTCTGTTGTGTTGTTCCATAAAGATGGGGCATAATGTGACTTGTTTTAACAGAGGAAATTATGCTTTGACACAAATGACAATAATTCTGCCTTTCACAAAATTATTTCAAAGAGAAAGACAGCAGCTGTGATAAAATTATACTTTGTGAACGAATCCCATTGTTCCCACCTCTGGTATTCCCCTAGCAAAGCTCGCAGCCACACCAGCTCGTGCCCTGGGACCAGAGGCAGTGGGGGCAGCCAGGGGTCCCAGGCTGTGCTGAAGGTGCTGGAGCTGTGCCTGGGGCTGTCCCCACTGCCCACACAGGCAGCCCTGATGGCTCCCGCACACCCATTGATGCCCTTCTGCTTGCCGTGTGCTTGGCACGGCACCCCACACCAAAAGGCTACGGGAAGCCAGCCGTGACATTTAATTAACACGTTCCATCTGCTTTTCAGTACCATTTTAATTACAAATGGTTAATTTGCTTGTGGGCTAAGCCGATCATACAGTGAGGAGCTGGCCAGAGCTCCGTGTTCCCTACAGGCATTGCTGCTGTCATTTCCTGTGGCATTTTTCTCTATGAGACTCCCTGTGAGGGGAGAGGCTATGGCAAATTGAGACTTGGGAAAAGCAGCAAACCTCCATTGGGTGACCCTGCAGAGACCCCAGCAGCATTGCTGCAAGCCTTGCTCATGCCCATGGTGGTGGGTTCACCTGCACACATGGGGCAGCAGCAGCACACAGCCACTCCTCCTGAATCCAGAGCTGTGCTCAGCGTCCATCTTCTTCTTCACTTCCTTCTCGCACCCTCTAAACTTCTTTCTTTTGATATTTTAATTTCTCTTGGGCAGACTTTAAAGAAAAAGTTAGGTTGAAACAGATGGTTGTCAGCAAACCAGTGCCTACAGAGCACAATTGAGAATTAGCGTACAAAAACCCAAAACTTGGCACCATCCAAATCCTCTTGATATAATTGTCAAAAGAAATCTGGCTTGGAAAAAAATTCAGAATAATATTTTCAATATTTAAATGAGCGAAACTTTAAACAAACAAAAGACACTTTGTTTGAGAGTACATGAGATGCAACCAAAGCTCCAGAGGTGGTACGCGGGGCAGCGGCCAGCACTGCTCCCAGGGGCTGCAGAGCACTGTG